TATTGTTTAACGCATTCAATAATTAATTATTGACATAGGCAATAGAGCTTGCTGCTGAGAGCTTGGCAAATGTCAAATTCATTCAAGAGAAGAAGCTCATTTCAAAGTACTTTGATGAAATTTCCCAGGATACTGGTAAATTTTGCTTTGGTGTTGATGATACTCTAAAAGGTTTAGAATTAGGTGCTGTCGAAATTTTGATTGTTTGGGAAAACTTGGATGTGTCTCGTTACGTTTTGAAAAGTTCCAGTGGCGGTATGTTTGAATATTCATTACTAAAATTATCTGAAATTCGAGTATATTAAGCTAATTCTCATATCTCGTGTTATATAATGCAGCGGAAATGGTTGTTCATATGACCAAGGAACAAGAAAAAGATCGTTCCCTCTTTCTTGATAAAGAGACGGGTGTCGAGATGGAAGTATGTGATCGTATGCCACTTTTAGAATGGTTCGCTGATCATTATAAAGATTTTGGTGCAACTTTGGAATTCGTGACCAATCGTTCCCAGGAAGGCTCGCAATTCGTTAAAGGATTTGGTGGGATTGGCGGCTTGCTCCGTTACAAGGTTGACTTTGACTCTTTGAATTACGATAGTGAAGAAGATGGTTTCTTCTCTGGTATGCTATTTTTATTCTGAATTTCTTTGATGCATTATTATTATAAAAGGGTGTGAAACCTGAGCTGCACCTAGTAAAACCTGCTATTTAGATCACGTTAGGGTGAAGCCTGCGTTCTTATGATGTAAGGGCTGATTTCACCCTCATGTAATGATCAGAGTGGTTTTACTGGCTCGCAACTCAAACTTCATCCTGTGATATTAATATTTAATAAATTAATTGTACCAATTTTTTTCAGATTGACAATATGCCATCGATCTAATGAGGTGGGCTGACCCTGCCCATCGGTCGGCCGGGCGGGTGGGCCGGTCCTTGGTCCATATCTTGATGGGCCGGCCTGTTATAGGAGGTAGTAAAAGGAAATACTTAGAGATGATGATCAATTATGGAATGATCGATCATTTGATTTGTTTGATTGTGACTGATCATAAAAATTTTTTTGGAGTATGGTCGGTCAATAAATGGTCGATCATTTAATAGTCATGCCGACACCATGCATCACTCGTATTATATTCGTTGCAAGAATAATATTTGTCTTTATTATTTTCCATGCTATTTAATATCATGCTTGAAGTTAACACCTGCTTAAAATTGCACCTGCCTGATGTTAGCCCTTAAAATTAGATCTTGTAGTGTTACAAAATGTTTCGTAATAAAATTTATTACTATATTTAGTTATTTTTTATTAGTCGTACAATTACGTATGTATTACATTCTTTGTAATGATTTTCCTTATATAATTAACCTTAGTATGTATGCCCTTAGCATAATTATTATATCTTTCTTATAGTTAAAAAATTTTCTTTGCGTTAGCAGAAATTCTATATTTAGTCGATGTTGATAAATTGAATAAAGAAAACATTTAAATTTAACATCTAATCTAATGATTATGATCCAGGCTAAACCCAGTAATGAATCGTGTAACGAGATCGTGATCGTATAGTTAGTGACGCAATTCTCAATTTCTAATTAAATATCGACCCAAAGAGGGAAGTGCCTAATTACTGACTTGTGAAAAATTGTACACAGTCCCAGTGGTGTACCTGTACTATGATGTAACGCAAACCGCCGAAACTAGTTTGGGAATTTTGTCGCCCAGATAATTATTTCGGTAAAATTCCAAAATCTCCGATCAAAATTGTCGTCAATTTATGCCAAAAAGGTTTGGGTTACATCATTTACCTGTACGATACCATAAAAAAAACGTAGTTTATGTCATAGTTAAAGCTTTGAAGCAATAACGATATATTGTGCATGGCAATGGTAATTCATTATTACTAAAACAAGCTTCGTAATTGATTTTTGAGTTTTTTTTTTTTAAAACGCGAATTGGCGTACTTTAGATTTTGAGTTTTAATTATGAAGCAAGCTATATTTTTTTTGTGGGCGATGCTAAGGCTGTTAAGTATCAATTACAATTTTTATTTTGAGTGATTATAATAAATGAGCACCGTTTATACTCTAGTCTAGGGATGTTAACAGTCCAGTCTGGTTCAGTCTGGTCATTTTTTGTCTAGTTTGGTCCAGTTTTTTAATAGTCTAGTCTTAAGACTTAACTGGTCTAGTCTGGTCCAGACTTAATACTAAGAGCAGACCCAAAGTTTCCAACTTCAGACTAGTCTTAGACTAACTGTGGTTTTTCAGTTTAGACCAGACCATATAACATCCCTACTTATGAGTAGGGATTGAAACCGTTTAACCGTTTAAAAATTGCACCATAATTCCGGGCAGAATTATGTTGGTCGTGGGCCGGAATTATCTTAATG